ACAAGAGGAATGGGAAAACTTGTTTTCTCAAGGTTGACTCAGTCTTCCATCCTTCTGAGGTTGGTAAAATGAGGACCCACATTGTTGGGGGCAAAATGCTGACTCTGTAAACCGTTTAGAGAGGGCTGTAAAGCACTGTGAAGCAGTATGTAAGTTTAAATGCTATTGCTATTCTATTCCACCATTTCTTTGATATTAGTGTAATTCTTGTCCCACGGTGAATTGTCCCACAGAAAATTGGCTTTGGTTGAGTTGAGCATAGCAAATTGGACACAGCAATGACAGTGAGTTGTCATAGACCAGTGATGGCTAACCTTTTCGGCAACAAGCGCCGAAAAGGGAGCACATGCATGTGCTCGTTGGGCTCGCCACCCAGAAGACGAGGTGCCCAGAGGGCATACACATGCCAAAAAAAAAAATGAATGTCTGGTTTCCAGCACATCGATGTACACCAGCCAGCTAGTCTTCCAGTTTCTGGCATGCATGTACACGCAACAATCAGCTGCCCGACGTGCATGCTCACGTCAGAAAACCGAAGACCAGCTCTTCCAGTTTTCGGCACTGCCGCATGCACAAAGGCCAGCTGATTGTCATGCACGAATGCATGCCAGAAACCCGGAAGATGAAAGGGCAACGCCGCGCATGCCAGGCAACATGCCTCCACATGCCACTTCAGGCATATGTGCCATAGGTTCGCCATCATGGTCCTAGACCCGTTTACAAGTGTCTTCATTCACGAGCATATTACTCCACTAGGCAATCTACCTTTCTCCCCTATCAGAAAAGTTGTTTATCAGCAACAGTAAGACTACTACACTATAACACCACATCAAATTCATTCTCCATTCCCTATCAGGAAACAATGGCTACAGACTTATTTCTCTGCTCTGCTTCTAATATGATATATGTCTTCCCTTCCTTGTAGAGACTATTTGAAGAAAACTAGCCTTTGTAAAATATTGAATGACAATCTTAAAATTTGATGAACAATAAATTAAATTAGAAAGCTCATTTAGAGCTATTTTGTATAATTAAAATCGATGACAGATTTTTAATTACCCCAAAATCCTGATGCTGGGCTAAAAACCACTTTTCATCAATAAAAACAGTAGCATTTTTTTTAAGAAGAGAGTGGCTAATGACCTTGGTTGGGAAATGAGTTCCAGTCTTCCCTTATGCACATAATACAACAGTTGACTTTTCTCCAGTTTTACACCAGACTTTGCACTCTCAACCCAACACATTTCATAGTATTATTTTTATGGGGAAAACAGAAGGTGGGAGTATTATGTATGCAATACTGAACTGTACAAGTAAAATGTATCAATCTAATAAATACATAAAAATTTCAAAGAACACCAGCATCAAATTGCTAAAGTAGAACGTAAATTCTATTCATTTACATCTTAAGTGAAACGAGGGACAGATGTCAACTTTAGCATAGCAAAGTTAGATAGATGCGGCTATGATAAAGAATTATCAGAGAGCTTGTCTGGAATACATTTGAGGTTTGCACTAAAATATCACATGCAGATGGACCCTCTCTACTTTTGATCCCACTGTTTACTTTCCCCCCTCTTACTTCAGCCTTTGAAATAAGGATATTTAACCAACAAATATACTTTGGAAGGAAGGAAATAAATCTTCAATATCAGTAAATAAACATGACATGATGTGGCTTACATAAATCCTAAAATTACTAGTAAATGACCAAGTAGGCATGTGTTAATTTCATCTGGAACACTAAAGCTACATCCAAGGAGAAGTTTAAATGTGAAATCAGAAAAGCCACTCTATCTATTTACCTACCTACCTACAAAGTTCAGTTGAGAGATATGTGGAACATGAGTGGTAAAAAGATACGTCTACGTAAAATGTAAGTTTTATTTAGAAACAAATTCTAGGTAAACTAACTCCTATTTAATATGCATTGGACTGCAACTTCATGACAAAGGAAAAGAAGACTTCTTAAATATTCACAGCTAAACATTACAGGTGAATGGTTGAAGATAAAGCGAATATTTGTTTATCAAAAAAGGAAACAGAAAAAGCAGGAAAAGATCTACCATTGCTTCTTCTCTACTCTAAACTGCCTTTGCTCAAATGTTGATTTCTACAACTGCAAATATGTTTAGCAATCTTGAATACACAATTTAAAGAAAAGCAATGTGCATCCTTAACCTGCCTTCTTCAGCAACCCCCGATCAATTCTGCATTATTTTGCAGACCATGTAGTCTTTTTTGTTAATTCCCAATACAAGACCTAAAGTATTTTCTGCAGAGGTTCACTCTTTTATGTGTTTTATTTCTAATCAGAACCTTTAATCTTTGCTCTTGGCTTAAGCGGTTCTGTGTCTCTATTTCCACCTCTAGATACTGAGAAATCAGATCTTTCTCCAGCAGCAATAGGTAAGTTTAAGTGGAGGTTCAAATCACTAGTACTCATAAGTGCATCTGACTTACTCCCCCCAAAAAGCCAGATAGATTTTAATGACTAAGAATCCTCTTGTTGTTTATAGGTATAACAAGAATGAGAGGTAAAGAGAGTTCTATTAATTTGTTCGTAGTCTTGGCTTCTCAGTGGTTTGTTGTGGAAAAAAAATTAAGAGTTTGCACTTTAGTAGTAGGTACGACAACTGAGTTTCCAGTAGCTGACTGAATCTGTGGAACTCTTGGATAATTGTGGCTGAGTCAAATGTGTCATAACTACAAAATGGGCAAATATTTGTTTTCTTTCTTTGATCAAAAGATGATTGTACAATTATAGTCAGGCAATCAAAGATCAATGTTTTTGGCAAACTAATACTTCCAGGATTTCCTTCTCTCCATCCCAAATGTTCATAATTGTAGAAAGGCATGCCTGTGATGACATTTACAACATTTACGACAGCATTATAAGCAATATTCCTTTCAGAGCAGTATTCCTGGACAAGAGAAGAGAAGACAGATGAAAGAGAATCACAACATTCTGGGAAATGTGAAATTATTTCAGACTTTTTTTTTAAAATAACTTGGAAATGAGACACAATCAAAACAACAGTTTCTCAATACTGATATGAAAGTATCTTTCCCAAGGTTATAAACCCCCAATTCAATCTTCCCCCATGTCCCTTGCAATCATGATTTCTCTTCCTTCCCATCATTGTGAAGACATTCATGGCTTGCCTAATCTAAAAGTGAGCCCAAGGCTAAGAGCTCCAATCTGAGAAATGGTATTACAAGTTTCTTTTTGGAAGGGAATTTTCTCTCGTCCCTTTTGCCACCATCCTAAATTGCATGCTTTGCTCCAGGCAAAAAGGCCGCTTTATGTTAATAACATTGTTTTGAGATCTTTATGATTCCAATTTAAATTAAAAGGGGTCAAAAACTTTAAGTCAATCCTAAAATCAACTTCCTTTTGACTGCATATATACTATACAGAATAAATAACATAAAGCACAGTGAGTGTACAATTTCCAAGAAAACATTCTACTGAGTCTACATGAAGAAGTGACAACAAAATCTCATCACTATTGCCATTCAAATATATTCAAGCAACCAGAAACTAAAAATATAGCCAATTCTAAGTGCACAGCAAGGCAAGACACACCCACATTTGTATCAAGGGGGTTTCTTTACAGCTACATATTCCTATAAAACATCCAAAGGAAGAAACTACCAGCAGTTTTTATCTACCAGCAGTTTGTCTACCAGCAGTTTGTCTACCAGCAGTTTTTATTTTTTTATTATTCCAGCTGTGTTACTGGCAAAAAGACAAATTCTAACATTACATCAATATTTTTTTAAAAATTCTATGTCTGGATTTTAAGATTAGTGTCAGAAACGTGCAGGAAGAAATGGATTATGAAAACAGTTCTTTCTTAAATAAAGATC